TCTGTTCATCTCAGATGCCCATTTTTGAATTGGGGCTATATATATATATATATTTTTAGTTCTTTATATATTCTCGATAGTAGACCTTTGTCAGAGGAACAGCTTGTGAACATTTTTTGCCCGTGTTGTAGGTTGTCTCTTTTGCTGTTGCTGTGGCTCTTCTTAAGGTGCAGGTTAAAGGCAGGTTCCTCCACAGTGGCTTTGTATTTGCTCTTGCTGGTTACTCCGAAGCAGTATAGGCATTGGATCACTGTTACATCTTAATGTGGACTTTATTGAATCACTTAAGTACTATTAATGTCGCTTGAACACCCACTTGAAGACTGGCTGACTTGTTATAAGATTTGAAGGGGAAATATTATTTTGGCCTCTACTTAGCCTAAATTCAAGATTTCTGTCCTTGGGCAGGTCTTGGGCTTGGTCTTTCAATCCCCTCCTACCTTAGATGTCCATGGGAGCCAAGTTCAGCTTTACCCACATCATAAGGCAAACAAATGCTCTGAAAGTTTAAAGATGACTTTTGTGTTACTTACCCCTGAGGGTTTCCAGTTTTACTTAGATTTGGCTGAGTGAATATTCCTTAGTTATACTTAGATCTGGCCCTCTTGAGTACCCCTTTTTGAGGGCCGTATATTGATGCACTTGAAAAGATATTTGTCATTTTCTATCCAACATTTTTAGTTGCTTACTATAGGAGGTGTTAGGTGCAGCCTAGCAGGAAACAGAGCAGTAGTCAGGGATCAAATGTTATTAAACTTATATGGCTGGGGAAAAAATTATATGGCTAATTGTAGTAAAATATTCTGAATTTAGTATCACCTGTATACATGAGCAAAATATGCAGAAAAAAATATTTACCTCCAAAGAACCACAATTGTAGTTATTTGCCCCTTCCAGTAATTACAAGCAGTTTTTTTAATTAAAAAAGAGAAAATGATTGAATAACCCAAATTAGCTTGGGCAAGAAAACTAACAGCAACCTAAAATGAAATGTTTGAGTTATGAGCCATGTGCCACTTTATTGTCTCTGCAGCCAAAGGGTTCGGAATCCTTATTCAATTAACCACGTTGCTTGGGAGGGCCTGAGTGCCCTGAATAAGAGCCACCTGGTGATGAGTGAGAGGTATCTGTACCACACAAGTTCAGACCTTGCAACTCTGTTTCTGTTATTTGAACTTTCCTTTCCCTTGTAGCTAGGGATGCAGCATGGAATTTAAACACTTGTGTGGTAACTCCATTCCTTCATCCATTGTGCTGTTAAGCTCCAGCTAACGAACTTTTAACGCTGGCTGCATTAAGGCAAGACTTAGAAAACAGCAGCAATTTCTGATAGTATAATTAAAACAATGATTTATATGTCTTCATAAAGCAGCTTGCTCTTGCCTGTCCATTCCAACTATTCCATAAAAACTAGTCTTTTTAGATCATATTAAAAGAATAAAGGAATAAAACAAGACACACTTAAAGCTTAAATTAAGACGTGACTCTCACTTCAAAAATCATACCTACTGCAGCAGAAACTTCAATAGAGGAACTAAAATTACATAACATTTGAAAGATGAGAAGTGCCAGATGCACTGGTTATGTATACTTTATCTCCTGTGGCCTTTTCCTTCCATGCCAATGTTTTTTGTTGCTTAGGGAGATCCTCCTGATAATATCTCAAAGAATGTCTCTCAGACCCATATAGATTATGTACACATTGGCTTGCTAAGAAGTTCTGCTTTGAAATCTCTAGGCTTTCTTTTGCTTCTAAGTATACTGTTTTGAATCTAAAACTAAAAAGAGAAAAGATTGCATTTCTTCTATAATTAACAGTCCAGTTCTAAAGATAATTCTGGGTGAGGAGAGGTATTCGAGTATAGTTGGAACAATCATATAATAATTTGACATAAAACATCTCAGTTTTATTGCTTTTAAGAATTAATTGTACTTTACTTAAATGTGTACACTACTTTCATACTAGCAAGTAATTACTTGCATCTATTACATCGTAGTTTGTTGCTTTGTAAGAGTAGATGTGCTTTTTGCATCTTTTCTTAACTTGTCGTCATACTGTAAAGAATACTTGTATACTTTTCTTTAGGTGACATAGAGTAATGTGAATAAGTAATCTTGTTTTTCCACTAGAAGTGAAGAAAAACTTTTGAAATGAGAAATTTCATTTAAAATTTCAAAATAATTTCAATAATAATCACTTTGTATTTGCTTTTGTAAAAAACTACAACAACATAGTTATATGGTTGGCTGAGAGTTTAAATATCGCAGATATTATTGTCTTTAAATTTTAGTCTTAACTGTCTGGGCCCATATTAGATTATTAAGAAACAATTGCCTAAATACAGATATTCTGTGTTGCATTATTTTATTTTCTTATGGATGGCAAGAAAATATGTTAGACCTTGTACTTGAAGCATACACTCCGTTTCAGTTCCTACTCCATTTTTTCATTATTTAATGCATTTGCCATGTTTAAACCTCTACTCAATCAAATCTACCTTCTATATTTAAATCCAGTTCATCCTTCAAAGAACACTTACATGCCACCTCCTACATGAAGCATTCCCTCATTCTCCACCCCCATCCCACAAGCAAGTTGTAGTTAATCTCTCTTCTGTGTGCCTTATGCATCTCTCTCTGCAGCTCTGTGTTAGTGTAGTTATTAAGTTTTCTCTTGTTTCAGTATTTCTGTACTATTTCTTGTTCGAATGCAAGCTTCTGAAGATCAGGGATTCAGTCTTAACTTGTATTTCTTTGCACAGGTAAATACTTCAATAATTATTCTTGTTCAGTGATAAAACCTGTGTTTTCGTTCTATGTTAATTTTCTAAATGTTTGTACCACATATTTTTCAAAAATCATACTAAAATATTAAAATTTGAATATTCTTTCCTGCAATGGTAGTAATAAGCCACACTATGAAGTCAAATTATGTAGCACCTGCCACAGGTCAGACATTGTGCTTATCTGAGGACTACAACATTTTAACCACAGTCAATTTAAAGACTTATTGTAAGATGGTATTGTTGTTATTATTTGTGTGTTTTTTTTAAATCAGAATTTCTTGCAAAGCTGTTAAATTGTGGACCCATACAATTCAAAGTTTGAAATTTCATTTTACAACGAAGACATTTTTTCATTTTGTTGACTGCAAAATTAGCGTAATATTTTGAGACTACCAAGTAGTCCAACTAAATCATTACTGAATAAGAGTAATAACTAAATCGTTTTCTGGAACCAAGCATGCCCAAATTCAGGTAAGAAGAAGGAGAGGGGAAGCCATGTATAAACCAGTGTGGTGGATGTGGATGACCTTTGATGTTGCTACTTCTACTTGAAATCTTAATTCCAAATTCAGTAGTCTCTCAATTTCCTAAAAGTAACTGAAGTTTCCTAAATTATGACTACTTTATTATACTTTCTTGAGGGTTTTTTTTACCTTTTTGGTATATGTTATTCTTTCAAAGCCCAAGCCATATTTTAAGATATATGAGAGCAAAAATAAGTTGCAGATGAATGTTACCCAAACAATTACCTTAAAAATTAATGTTTAGTTACTAATTTTATTTTGTCTCTGCTTCAATCTTCATCAGTTTTCATCATGTAACTTGTTAAATGAAGGTCCTACTAGGTCAGTTTTCTGAAAGGCTTTCTGAAACATTGAGACATAGAATATTCACTGCATTTTACTTGTAATGCCATGACATTAACACAATAAAATCTTTTTTTAAGTTCTTGGAGGAGATTTTCTTCTCATAAATCTGTTTTGGCTTTGTCTATACAAGTTACATTTTTGATATTGTATTTCTTTCTCCAAAATTATTTCTACTCACAAAATTAACTGTCTTGATCATAATTGACTGGTGGGGGAGTGATTCAGTAAAAGCATTTTGTTTGCATTTTCTAAGAAGTATCGCTTCTTTTCTCATCATGGAACAAAAGCCAAAACTACCAATACTGTTTACCATGTTGGAAAATTAACATTATCTTAATGAATAATGATGAAATGTTGGCACATCACCAAAGGAACATTTGTCTTAAAAAGTTTATACCTAATTGTTCTTGAAATCCATCAGGCAAGAAATTAAAATGTATGTTTTAGCATTTGTCTTGAATATCTAAAGCTCTCTTAGCTAATTTTTTTCTTAGAATTGTATGTTTAATTCTAGGGTCTCTCATCTTTTGTAATCACTGAATTAAAACACAGTCCTCTTTTACTTGGGTAAAATATGGACGGAGGAATTGAAACTTTTAAAATGTGCCATCAGCAAGCATTTTCAGAGTTAGAATTATAAATGTGCGTCCATCCCTAAGCTCTTCATTTCACCAATTATACTGTTTCCCTATCTGTTAAGAGCTGAAGCTTGTGCCGTCATGGTTAATGTTTTGACAGATTTTATCATAAACCTTGCTGTTGTAAATTTGCCATGAGCCTAAATTTAACATGTTGTAAGCTCAAAAACAGTTTTTACTGTTGGTGATCCAGAAAGGGAAATAAATCTAATATACTCTTTTGCATGAAAGGAGTACAGTGTTTAACTTCTTAAAAGTTATACATTACTTTAAATTTGAGAGAAACATTCTCTATGTCAAGGCCTCTAAATTGTCAATAAAACTTTTCATAAACATTTTTGTGACTATTGCAAGACAGAAGATACCAAAGGAAATATTATGTTGCTTATATAGACTCACTAAATTTTATAATTGAAATATCCCTGTTAGAAAAGTGAAAAGATCTTGGGGGAAAAATGTAAACTGGCAACATGTGATGAAATGATTCAAAAACCACGGAGTACCTGTTTTGTTCCCAGAAAACTTATTAGGATGCCCATTAGTGAGACTATTTTGTTGTGTCTTTCATTGATTATTTGACTTATTTTATTAAACGTGTTCCCAATCTTTCGTATTCATAACAGCCTGTAGATCTAGATTCTTTCTCTTTAAAACATCTTCAGTGACCATGACGATTAATATTTACTCATAAATGCATTTGTACACAGGCTCAACCATAGCACATCAGAGAAGACAAAAAGAGTTGTTATCCAGTTCTTTACCCTAGAATAAATCAAATCAACAAATATTTATTGAATGTCTACTATGTGCAAATAGCCCTGAACTGGTCAGCTTTTAAAAGCCACCCAATTTTTCGCACTGACAAATCAAAGCATTATTTGAAGCATCACAGAAGCTGCTTCATTTTCTAAAGGTGACAGAGCATATGAGGACCCTGCAATGATTTGGGCTAAAGAAAAGACTAACAGTCAAGTTGAAAAGAGGAGAAAGAGCACTCTAAAATGTCACTACTGATGGACTGCATCACGTATGTATATGTGTATGAATTTATGTGTATGAATGTATATCTGCTCATAGCACTTACAACTACACAAAGAGGAGAGTGAGTGGGTTTTAGAGAAATAACGTTTGTTAAGATCACAGAGAAATAGTCATTCACATTTGAGTCCAGAGCTGTGCCTGAAAAATAGGTTTATTGACTGAGGATGTAACTCAGTGACAGAGGGCTTGCTTAGCCTGTGGAAGGCACTGGGTTCAATCCATAGCACTACAAAAAAAAAAAAAAAAAAAA